GGTGCCCTAGAGCCCTGCAGACGAGGAACTCACTTCTTCAGACAGGGATGAGGCAACTACCTGTTAGAAAGTTCTTATGCTTTTTGGAAATACGCCCCCCCCCCAAGTTTTCCCCGCACTGCTCCCTACCTAGGGACTTCCAAAGACAACCTCTCAAATATTTGAACACAGCTACAATATCCTTCCTAAGTCTCCCCATTTGCTTCAACCATCCAGAGTTTGACTTAAGTCATTCACCCACTGCATCTTTTTTTCACTTGGTGATCCTTTTTAAATACATTACCTTCCAAAGAATCCCTTCCCATTCTCTATGTAAGCCACCCTTCCTCTAGAGAAGTCATCTGAATTTCAACCTCCTACTCTTCGAGGTCTGGCATGATACAATATTGTTCAGGTCTGATATATATCGATACTCTGATTTGGCTGTTAATTTAAATGTCAAGAGCACAGGCTCTGAAGTCAAATACACCAAGTGTTCAAATCTGGGCTCTGCCACTTACTAATAACTGTGTGACCTCGGGGAGGTTTCTTAGCATCTCTGGATTTCAGCTTCCTCGTCTGCAAATCGGGGACAGGGATATTTACTACCTGGCATTGTGATGAGAATCAAGTGAGATAAGGCCAGTAAAACACTTGGGACAGCTCCTGGCTGCCTCATTTAGCTCCTAAGTGACCATTATAAGTGCATTCTTCTGAGTTTAGGGCTGGAGGGGGTGCTTTGGGGAAGAGAGAGAAGAAAAGGAGAGAAGAAGACCTTCTGGAGTTATGCTGCCTTTCCCAAGCAGTGTGAATGCTGGGTGAAATCCAATAAAAGGGTACCTTGCTTTGGTCTCATTTCCAGAGGTGTCTCTGCCAGCCCCTCCCCAACACCCCCCTACACTGGCCAGCCCCCCTCCAACGCCCCCAACATCCGCTGCCTCCACCACCAACAACCCAGCCACTGTAATGGGGCCACTGTAATGGTGCAGGTCTTGACAGCTCTTTGAAACTCAGAGGGTTTAAAATTTAAATGTCTTTGAGGGTAAGAGAAACACACCAAAATAAACATACCTCCTGCTGAACAGAGAAAGGGAAACTTGGCAGGCGCCCCAGAACTTTCCCCACCCTCAGCCCTCCCTAAACTTCCTCTTGTGGTTTCTCAAGAGTACAACCTGTTCTCCCCAGCCAAGAAAGCGCCTGGGGCAGGGGGCTGGGGCATGCCAAGGGTTCCACCGCTCCCCTCCCCACCCTATGACAAGGGAGAAAAGTATGCGTGGCAGAAGTGGCCTGGAGGTCTATATAGTTCTGAATTTCACAACCTGCTTACCTGTTATCTTGGGCTTTACCCCCAACTGCCGCCCTCAAAACCCATCCTCACCCCCAACACAGGCCTCTCTCTCAAAGATAGATGCACAAGGCGGTTTGACTGCAGGTAGAGGGGGACCACTTCAGGCCTGCCCAGATCTGTGCAGAGGACTCTCGAGAAACACCTAGAGTTCCAGAAAGGTAATGGAAAAGCAGCTTGGAATCCCTGGAGCCTTGGCCCTGTGGCCTGGCTCATATCCAGGGCAAGGTCCCAGCCTGCTAGGAGGGAGGGGGTCAGATACACGATGGCAGCTCTGAGATGCAGCAGCTGTGGGCTAGAGAAGCAAACATCTTCTACTGTTTGACCATCTTCTTCACTCAACTACCAGGCTGGGACTGTTCCTCTTGAAATCTAGAATACGAAAGTCTCTGATACTCTTAAAGATTCCTACCAAATGAGGGGTCCGGGTGTCCCACATCCTCAGATTCTGGCACATCACACCCATGTTGCCTCCTTTCCTGCATCAAACTTCAGTTTGTTCCTCTTGAGGCTTATTCAAGAAAACACACACACACACACACACACACACACGGCCTTAAGGAAAGGATACCAGCTCAGTGCTGTCCCTACAAGCCTACTACAGATCTACTGGGGCTCCATGTAAACCATTACCAGCACCCACACTCAGCTGAAAAGTTTCTCTCCTGCCTACCACCCAAGGTACAGGTCCTTTCGGAAACTCCTAAGTCCTTGGCTTAAGTGGACATTCTATGTGGTCAGTCAGGGAGACAAACTAGCCTAGGGTTAAGAACAGGGTCTCCCAGGTCAAGTGACCTGGCTTTCAATCTCAGCTGTGCCATTTATTTCTGGTGTACTCTTTAGAAAAACGACTCACCTCCTCTGTGCCTAGGCTTTCCCATATACACAGTGAGATAATTCTAGTGCTGACCTCATAGGACTTAGGGAAATTAAATGAGGACATTACACTCCAAACATTTGGAAGGGTTCCCTACAGTACTAATAAGCATTAGCTGGTGTTCTGAACCCTTGAGGGAAGGAAACAAAAAAGAGGCACTATGGACCAAAGCAGTCATGGTCTCAAGGACTAGGATCCTGCTGGAATTCTCAGAGATGCTTTTGACTGGAACTTCCAGGCAGAGTAGAAGCTCTGATTTGTTTACCGTTACGTCCCCAACATCTAACCTGTGCAGAGAGAATGTTCATAGCTAGCAAGTGGTGAATGAATTAATCAAATGTTGTATCAGTCATCTCTCCAAGGAGAACTGAGGTGGGGGCATAGTGGAAACAGTCCTAAGGTCCAAGAATGAGGAATGGGTACCCCAACACTATGTGGATGGTCACATAACTCTCGAGCAGACTCCCAGCTGCACGCAGCTAGGAATTCCTGGATTCTTAGCGACCAGCCCAGAAACTTGCCTATCCCTGAATTTATCCTGTTCATTCCCACCTCTTCTTCATGCCTAGACAGCAGGTGAAAGAGAGCAGGAATGCCTTCTGGGTCCTCATTATACCCCAAGGTCCAACACCAGTCAGGGTTCAGTATAACTCTGCTGAATGAACAGGTGGCCCCCAAAGACTTCCTACCACTTCTCAGCCTGGTGACTCTCCTCTCACCCAGAATCCAACTCCAAAGCCCCCTTCTCTCTGGAGTCTTGCTAGCCAGCCCAACTTGGCACTTTATCTCTGTTGTTCCATGATGCACACTAATCATAGATGAATAACATCATTGCACCCTCAGCATCCCATGAATTCCAGACCCATAGTAAGTGCTCAATGTTTGCAGATGAAACCATTATGCTCCCTTAGTAACAGCAACCAAGTTCTTCAGTTACTCTTCTTGGCAATACATTAAAAAACCCAGAAGAGGCTTGTATACCCATCAGACACCAGAGGGACAAACACTGAGGGGTCCTTCCTTCCAGTCCTGTCTTCTGACCTCCTTCCTCCCTCTGCTCTCGCTGGCAGGAGATTTGGAAGGCTCCCTGCCCACATTGGCTCTGCCTTCCTACTAGCCTCCCATCCCTATCTCTGAGGTATGACGAACGAAAACCCAGTGAGGCCACTGGGCTTCTAGGTCAGCTTGGAGAACGGCTGTGGGGACAGGGCCCAGGCCTTCGGGGGGGCATCTCTGCTCTTCGACTAGGTGCAGAACAGCTCACCGAGAGAACAACGGAGCCGAGCTTTGGGGGACAACGGGGAGGTGATGACGACGCGGGGATCCCCTTAACCGACCCAACTCTACCCGCCCCAGGCGTCCAGCCCGAACTTGAGGCCCCAGCGCAGGGTGGAGAGGCTGACACCGCATCTATCTAGGCTTCTTCAGCCATCAAGCCTACCTCCATAGTAGGTGAGCCCCCCGGAGCACGGATCGTGGCCTCATTCTCCCGCCGCCTCTGACTTCTGTCTTTGGGGAGGTAGGGGGTCGCCACCTCCAGCCGTGGGGAGGGGCGTGCACTGCTGCGCCAGAAGACCCAGCAGAAGGAGTCTCCACCCCCGCAGGCGCCGCGTGTTTACAAAGTCCGCGCGGCGCCGCGGATCCCGAGTTTAAAGCTGGGCAGGAAGTGGGGAAGAGGGGGCGGGGGAGACAAAGGGGCTGGGTGCTCGGCTCCACTGAAGTTTGGGCCCGACTCCTCCCCCGGCCGCCCCCGACCCTAGCGCCCTCGGTGAGGGGGCGGGGAACGCCCCCAGGCTCAGGTGCGCCCGCGGGGCCGGTGCGGCGCGGGTTGCCAGGCCTCTGCGCGTTCGCTAGTCATTCACGCGTCGCGCAGGAAATAAACAACTTCAGGTGCTGTTTCTTGACCGCTTACTACGCGTCTGGCACTGTGCCAGACCCTTTGTGTGTATTAGCTTATTTTCTTCTTTATCAATCCCACCCCAGTTTCATACCCCCCAACACACACAAGGAAACTGAGGCACAGTGTGGTTAAGGAACGCGCCCGAAGTCCCACAGCCTGCGAGCGCTATGATTCAAAGCCAGCATCTGCACCCTCCCAGGCACCCGCAAACGGAACCGAACGAGGCGCGGTGCCGTCCCAGGTGCCGGCACGGAGAATCCCGTCCCGGAGTGGCTGATGAGCGAGGGAGACGCTGAAAACCACAAGCCCCGCGTGGACGCCGCGCCCTGGGAGTAAGGCGGGCACGGGACAGCTTCCTGCCGCCTGCACCTGCAGCCTCGCCCCGCAAATACCTGCGGACTGAGGGCGAGAAGGCAGCGGGATGCAGAGGAAGACCTGGGCTAGCTGGTCCGTAGGCTCCAGTTCCGAGCGGACCACTGGCGGGCTGCGGAGCTGTCAGCACGAAATAAAGCTTCCCCAAATTTCCAGGTCAGGAGAATCACCTGGAGAGCTTCCCAGTACGGATTTCCAGGCCCCTTCCCCACTGAGTGAGTCATTGGCACCGAGCGGGACACAGTCAGGTGCTGCTAATACCAACAAGCAAGTTTGAAGCGTCCCAAGGATGTGCTCTTTATGAGAAACGATTTCATCTAGGAATAGGTGTGATGCTGCGGGCGCATCTTCCTAGCCAATTCCGACGCTCACTAGGGCCCCAAGAACCTACCACGCACTGAAGGTCACGTGAGCCGGGGTCCTGAGACACACACACCACCCACCCACTTGGGATTAAGAAAGCTTGTAGGGGTGCACGCTGCCCCGCCTCCTCCCCGCCCCCGCCCCTCCCCCTTCGGCGACTACAAGTCCCATACTGCCCTGCGCCCGCGCACATTACGCCAGAGCAAGATGGCCGACACGGCGGCCACTGCCGGGTCCGGTGGCTCCGGAACGGTAAGGGTGGGAGGCGCGGGGCCGAGGCGAGAGAGTCTGGACATCCTGTAATTTCCCCCTAATGTGGGCAACAATCCCATAGCCAGAAATCCAGCCCCACTATGATCTCCGAGTGGAGGAGCGTCTTTCAGGCCGTACATGCCCCCCTCCTTGGGACTTGGCTACGGCCTCCGGAGTTGGCGGACCTGTGTAGTGATTGGCTCCTTCCCTGTTGGGGGTTGGGAACCCGGAACACCTTCTGATTGGTCCGAAGAGGCTGGTTTCGCCTTCTTATTGGCCAGCCGAAGTTGGGGGGATTCCGGTTTCAAAATATTTAGCTTTCCTACTTTCCTGAGCGGTTGTCCTTTGCCTTTCTCTCCTCAGTGTCGTGTGGGGGTGTTTTAATTTTTCCTGTTAGTGAAGTGGTGTGGAGATGGGAGGAACAAGAGAGAGAGAGCATTGTTTTCTGGGAGAAGGCATAAATTCAATCCCATCATGCATGTTTTTTCAGCTATATATTTTGATAATCTGCTAAAATAGAAAGTAAAAAGTAGACATTTTGTGTTTTTGGAATTTTAAGTTTTAGGTAGCACCTTGGTATTTAGAGCCCTTTGGGTACTCGATTATTATTACTCAGCTGGCCAGGGTTTGTAAGTCTAAACACCAGGGGCATTTTTAAATTTTATTTTAGTAAGCACTGATAAATATTTAGCGAAAGAACCTTTGCTTGCCATTGATGATATGGGAATTATTTGATTGCAACCTTGTCGTACGGTCGAAAATCTTTTTTTTTTTTTTTTTTTTTTTAATGGGTTGCTGATTGGCAGAGATCAGGAAGTAAACAATCCACTAACCCTGCTGACAACTACCATCTGGCCCGGAGGCGAACCCTTCAGGTGGTTGTGAGCTCCTTGTTGACAGAGGCAGGGTTCGAGAGTGCTGAGAAAGCATCCGTGGAAACATTGACAGAGATGCTGCAGAGCTGTAAGTACCAGGAAACAATAGGCCGCCTTCTTGGAGTCAACCAAAATCTGTTCGGTGTTCTGCAATCTGATAGTGTTAGCGAGGATCTAGGAAAAAGAAGAATGTAGTTAAGTGACTTGCAGGCTTTGGAATCAGTGGGATGTGGGTGTAAGTCATCGCTCTGCCACTTCCCAGCTTGAGCAAGTCACTAAACCTCCTGAACCTCAATTTCCTTATTTGTGAAGTAGGTTAATAATTTGTATTTCACGGAGTTGTGAGGATAAGTGAGGTGTGTATGTAAAGCATTTGATGTTAGGAACATTGTAAGCTCCTGAGGACTTGTAGGTGCTGTTGTTGCTGCTTGTTCTCTGTACTCAAAGTAGTTAGAGTTTTGTTGCAGAGTCACAATGAATTCCCATGAATAGATGCTACACATCAGATAATCAAATGCTATCATATGCGATACAAAGAGGGAGGGCAAATAAAGTTTATAGAATGGAAAACAACTTGAAATGGGTTGAGGTATAGGAGCCTGGAATGGTCTCACATAGGCTTTTCTGCTTGTGCATTATATTTCCTTGCTTGGGTTTTATTGGGGTGAGTGGTGGAAGGTAGGATGGGATGAGAGATGGGGTTACTTAAGTTGTCTCGTGAGGGATCAACACTTACAAATGAAAGTGAGAAAAAGGTTTAGGCAGAGGGAGAAGTTAATTGCAATGCAGGCCAAATAAAGAATTAGCTAACCCAGTGGGGAGCTCTGGAGCAGTTGTTGCCTTTCAGAGTACACCTCCTCAGGCTGAAAAGGCCCTGCCTTTGTACTCAATTCTCCATCAGGCACTCGATGTGGGCTGCCCCAGGAAGGACGTGGTCTGAGGTGAGGTGGCTCTCTGCAGCTGATGTTCGCAACTTTTATTTATTTATTTATTTACAGATTTTATTTATTTGACACAGAGAAAGAGCGCATAAGTAGGCAGAGAGGCAGGCAGAGAAGAGAGGGGGAAGCAGGCTCTCTGCTGAATAGAGAGCCCAAAGTGGGGCTCGATCCCAGGACCCTGAGATCATGACCTGAGCTGAAAGCAGAGGCTTAACCCACTGAGCCACCCAGGCGCCCCTGTTCAGAACTTTTAAATACCAAATGTTTTCCTAAAGCAGTGCTCTCAGATGTTTGGGTCTTAGAACCTCTTTAGACTCCTAAATATTAAAAAAAAAAAAAAAAAAAGTCTCAAATATTGAGGGTCCTGAGAAGTTGTTCTGTCTACATGGGCTTTATATAGAGTAATTTTTGCCACATTAGGAAATAAAATTGAGAAAAATTTTAAACATGAACATATACAAGCCCACATTCCATTGTCCATCAGAGCCATGATATCATCATAGACCACGTAGCCTCTGGAAGACTCCAGGAGACAATGAGAGTAAAAAAAAACAATGTCTTTATTTCATTATAAACATGGTTTTGGCTTTTGGACTTTGGAAAGGATTTCAGGGCTGCCCGGGGATTCCCAGACCATACTTTGAGAACTTCTGTCCTAAAAGAATGGACAAATAGTTCCCAACAGAGAAGAATTCAGTTCTTGGAAAGATCTTGGAATTCAGAGTTTAAAGGTCCTCATGGTTGAGGCAGCTCTTTCTGACATCACTGACCAAGAGGGCCTTCTTTCTCACCAAAGAAATAGTTGCCACTGAGGGGGGATGGAGCTGAAATAGTGGTGCTGGAAAGCTGTGAATATTGAAACTGAAAGGCTTGCAAATAGTATAAAAGTCTGTCGCTTTGTTCTAAGGAATACCAAGGATAGATAGCTTAAGCTGGGGTCTTCTGAGACTTGAGCATTTCCATGTTGTCAGGAGCTCTGGATATCAAAGTTTCAGCATTTGCGTTAGTTGTAAGGATCAGGCAGTTTTTGTATTTGTTGCCTACAGTCACTTAGTTTCTAGGGACTCCTGTCTTAGACTGTGTTCAGAGCCAAGTCTCTGAATACTATTTTCTACGTTTCTCTTACATATCCTTTGAAATCCTAAGACCTGCTAAGAAAAAAATAAAAAAAGAAAAGAGAAAGGCCAAATGGGTATAGGTATTTTATTTATTTTATTTTTTTTAAAAGACTTTATTTATTTATTTGACAGACAGAGAGCACAAGCAGGCGGAGAGGCAGGCAGAGAGAGAGGAGGAAGCAGGCTCCCTGCTGAGCAGAGAGCCCAGTGGCAGGGCTCGATCTCAGGACCCTAGGATCATGACCGGAGCTGAAGGCAGAGGCTTCAACCCACTGAGCCACCCAGGTGCCCCGGGTATAGGTATTTTAAATGCCACCTGGCTTGTTTCTAAGACATTCTATCAGGATTTTAATTAGACTTTCCCCACAGTAAACAGATGCCGGACCCTCACCCCTGCCATTTTCGGGTATGGAAGCCAGTACTAGTGACTTGATCTGGGTAGTGGTGAGCTGGTCGTGGGTCTTCAGTTGCTTTTAACTTCTGAGCCATGAGGGCTTCTAGAGCAGGGGCTCCTTACCTTTTGGGGCTCCTTTTGTATCTGATGAAATCTCTGAACCTATCCCCAGAAAAAGGCTTTTCTGTATGTAAAATCCACCACAATTTCAGAGTTTTCATGGAATTGCCTATCCACCTCTGAAGCCTAGTTATGGAGCCCAGCTTCATACCTCCCCTTTTCCCTGAAGAACTTTGGCATAACTTTTTGTTTTTGTTCTTGTTTTTGTTTTTAAGTAATCTCTACTCCCAACATGGGGCTCAAACTTAGAGCCCCAAGATCAAGAGTTGCCAGGTCTGCTGACTGTGTCGGCCAGGTGCCCCCATAACTCTTTCAGTTTCAGGCAGAAAAAAACAAAGACTTGTTCCTCCTCCCCCTTTTTTGGTGGCAAGATGTACATAACATAGCATTACAAACATAACCATTTGTAAATGAACAATTCAGTGGCATTAAATATATGCACAATATCAAATGACTGTCAACACTTCCAGAACTTTTCCATCATCTAAACAGAAACACTGTGGAATGCCTGGGTGGCTCAGTCAGTTAAGCATCTGCCTTCGGCTCAGGTCATGATCCCAGGGTCCTGGGATTGAGTCCCGCATGGGGCTCCCTGCTCAGTGGGAGCCTGCTTCTCCCTCTGCCTGCTGCTCCCCCTGCTTGTGCTCTCTGACAAACGAATAAATAAAATAAATAAATAACCAGAAACACTATATCCATCACATTAACTTCCCATCTCCCCCCCACACTCCCGCCAAGCTCCTGGTAACCTCAAATCCACCTTTTGTCTCTATGAATTTTCTTTTTTTCTAGGTACCTCATATAAGTGGAATCTTAAAATATTTGACTTTCTGTGTCTGACTTATTTCACTTTACCTAACATTTTCAAGGTTTTTCCATGTTGTATGAGAATTTCATTCCCTTTGAAGGCCAGATAATGCTCCATTGTATGTGTGGACCACATTTTGTTTATCCATTCATCTGTGGATGCACACTGGGTTGTTTCCACCTTTTGGCTATTGTGAATCACGCTGCAGTGAACATTGGTGCACAAGTATCTGTTTTCAGTTCGCTTGGGTGTATCCCTGGCGGGGGATTGCTGGCTCTTACGATCATTCTGTACTTAACTTTGTGTGAACAGAGAATAAGACTTTGTGCCTTTGATCCTCTGCTAGACATTTCAGAAATCGGGAGGAGTGCCAAGTCCTACTGTGAGCACACAGCCAGGACGCAGCCCACACTGTCAGACATCGTGGTCACGCTTGTTGAGATGGGTGAGTACACCTCCAGTTTTCTGGTTGTCCAGTGCAGCTGAGTTGGGGTTATGAGAGAAAGAAGAGTCCCCAAGAGTCCACCCCATCTGCCAGGTGTTCTCGAGTTTCCTCAGGAGTCTCCTGGTTTGTTTTTAGCTTGAGAGAGGGTTCCCTCAAAAGAGGGTTCCAGTGACTCTATTTAAGAGACTTTCTACTTTCCTGCTGGGGGATTCAGCTGGAGCTGCTTTCAAGTGGCCTCAAAGCATTCAAGCTGGGGGTCTCCACTCTTTCTTCACAGTATCACTCCCCCTTTAGTGATTTTTTAATTTTTGTTCTCCTGTTTCTTAGGCTTCAATGTGGACACTCTCCCTGCTTATGCGAAACGGTCTCAGAGGATGGTCATCACTGCCCGTAAGTGACTTTGAACTGAGGTCCTCAGTAAGTGCTCAATCAGTGGTTATGGAATGACTTCATTGAAGAGGGCAAGGATCGGTTTGCAGCTACTTCCCATTGTGGGCTCCCTTCCATTATTTGGGGCTACCTGAAATAGGATCTTTATTTAGATTAATAGGATTAAGGTGCGAAGTTCAGTCACCAGAAAGGTAAACCATTTCTGAGGTGTTGCTGTGCTTTAACCCCAGAAGAGGGCTGTTTGAAAAATGTGAAAGGTCTCACTCTTTCCTCAGTCAAGTAAGCTATGGCCTGGAGGCCTAATACAGCTTGCTTCCTGTTTATGTAAATAAAGTTTTATTGGAACACAGCCATGTTTAGTTATTATCCCTCTGCTATAATGGCAGAGTTAAAGTCATTGTGATGGACTATATGGCTGGCAAAACCTGAAATATTTACTCTGTCCCTTTACACAAATGATGACTTCTCCCTTAGATGAAGTGAGTGCCATAAACTGACTTGGGAGTAACAGTTTGGGCCTGTAGGACCTTGAGGAGAATATACTAGATCTTTTTCTCTGCATTCTTTTCATGCTTGCACCTTTTTAAGAAATACGGTCATGGCTCCATAGCTCAGGGGTTAGAGCACTGGTCTCATAACAAATACTCTCAGAGTAGAGTGGAAAGGACCATTTATTTTTATTTAAATTTTTTTTTTAAGATTTTGCTTATTTATTTGACAGAGAGAGACATAGCGAGAGAGGGAACAGAAGCAGGGGAGAGTGGGAGAGAGAGAAGCAGGCCTCCTGCTGAGCAGGGAGCCTGATGTGTGGCTCCATACCTTGGGATCTTGACCTGAGCCGGTGGCAGATGCTTAATGACTGAGCCACCCAGGCATTCCAGAAAGGACCATTTTTAATCCCTTCTCATTTTCTTTAGCCCATACTGACTTACCCTGCCTGGCTCAGGGTTTGTCTTTGTCATCTGGGTTCTATGGAAAAAGAGCCCCCAGCCCACTGATTCTCCTTAGTTCCTCTGCGTCTCCCTTATGTATTTAACTTGTCACAGCCACCCACTCACCTGCCTACGCAGCATGCCGGCAGATTGTCCTACGCGCGACTGTGACCCCAGGTCATCCAGCAGGGCCGGGTGTGGCAGGGGTGACCTTCTCAGGTCCTCAAGCCGTTAAAGGCCCTTTATTGATAGGAATACAAACTGCCTGTTGTACAGGGAGAGCACTGAAGTCCAGCATTTACTTTGAGAAAATTGGGGACAGGGTAGAGATGCACAGCCTGGGTCGGCGGAATAATGGCTTGTAACTCTGTTGCAGCTCCAGTGACCAATCAGCCCGTGACCCCCAAGGCCCTCACTGCAGGGCAGAACCGACCCCATCCGCCACACATCCCCAGCCATTTTCCTGAGTTCCCTGACCCTCACACCTACATCAAAACTCCGGTGAGTGAAGCGGCCACGCTGGGGACTGGGACCGATGCAGAAGTAGTCAGTTCCTACTGACTGTTAGGCTGGAGCCCAAGAGTTTGCTGATAGAAGGGCGGTTCAGGGCTCAGCACGTCTTTCCTCATTGACACAAAGTTTGGCAGAGGAGGATTATGTTCTCCAGGGTTCGAATGTGCTCCCATTTGCCAGATCCATGGTTTCACCTCCCCTTGGGGAGGTGTGTAGTGCCCAGGGGTCTTCACACACCTCCTTTGTCCTCATCTCCACCCCATGTCCTGGTGCACATATGGCCACCAGGCAGCTTTTGGGGGCAAGTCCTCCAGACATTTCTCCACACCTCAGAAATAGATGGTCACCCGCCACTACAACACGGCCATCGTCCTTGACCAGTAGTCTCTGTATGGGTGTCGTACGGCTGCCTGCTGTAAAAAGTGCCACAAACTAGGTGGCCTAGCACAACAGAAATGCGTTGTCTTACAGTTCGAGAGGCTAGCAGTTCAAAACCAAGGTGTCAGCAGGTTCCCTCTGAAACCTGTAGGAGAATCCTTCCTTGCCTCTTCCTCGCTTTGAGTGGCTTATAGGCAGTCTGTGGTGTTCCTTGACTTCTAGATGCGTCCCTCCCGCTGTCTTCACAGGGCACTTTCTGTTTCTCTCTGCATGCCGCCATTTTCTTCTAAGGGCACAGTCCTGTTGGACTAGTACCAACGTACTCCAATTCAGCCTCATGCTAACTGATTACATCTCGCAATGACCCCATTTCCAAACAAGATCATATTCTGAGGTACCAGCATTAGGACTTCAACAGCATATCTCTTTTTGGGGGGACACAGTTGAACCTACAACAGTCTTCCACTCTTATACGGTGTCTCTTTGTCAGTAAAAGTATTAAGCCCATATTCCTCTGTTTGCTTATTGACACGACTCTAATGTAGCACTCTGCCAAAGTTAAATATATTAACAGATCATCTCACCCTTATTAAAGGTTCAGGAAACTTGTTTGCTCCTCCACAGTGGCAGCCATGGGATCGCCTCTGCTCTTTATTTTTTGGAATTGTGGTTTGACAGTCGGGATAGTAAGTCAGAGGTCTGATCCAAAGGTCAGTTTACTTTGGTTCTTGAACAGCTCTCATAGTTGAAAAGGCATATTGCAAAGCTGTGCAGCATCATCGGCTGCCCTTAAAAAATCATAAACGTAATTGTTTTCGTTCTCATCGACTGGTTATTTGAAGAATCTTATTAAAATTTTTCTATTAAAATTCCAGTTTCTTGAATGTCAAATGGTCGTCTTTAAAAATAATATTGCATTTTTTTAAAAAGATTTTATTTATTTATTTGACACAGAGAGAGAGAGGCAGAGAGGCAGGCAGAGAGAGGGAGGGGGAAGCAGGCTCCCCGCTGAGCAGAGAGCCTGATGCGGGGCTCCATCCCAGGACCCTGAGATCATGACCTGAGCCGAAGGCAGAGGCTTAACCCACTGAGCCCCGCAGGCGCCCCAAGATCTTGCATTTTAATGTTTTTAACAAGTACGTTCACAATCCATTCCAATTTTTTATTTGGGGAAAATTTAAACACGTCCGAAAATGCTGTTTCTGTGTTTCAGTGGAGCTAGGGGAAGCATACATACAGGCGACACACTTGAATTAACATTGACAACAGTGGGAATGTTTCCAATACCTCCTTTTTTTTTTAAGTATACTTTTAATAAAATATCACAAACGTACAGAAAAGCACAAATAATAAATGTACAATTTGATGAATTTTTACTAAGTGCACACGCCTGTTGAACTAATACCTGAGCTAAAAACAAAACAAAACCAAAACCAAAAAATCCCATGGGGCGCCTAGCTGGCTCAGTCGGTGGAGCAGGTGACTTTTGGTCTCGGGGTGGTAAGTTCAACCCCCACAATAGGTGCAGAGATTGCTAAAAAATAAAATCTTAAAAAAAAAAAAAAAGAACAAAACACCCTAAGCCAGCCTTCCTAAAGGTTCCCATCCCCCTTCAGCAACTAGCCCCCCAAAGGTAATCTAATTTTTATCACCATAAACTCTTTTGTCAGTTGTTGTGCTTTATGTAAACTACGTGGCTTCTTCCACTCAACGTTCTGTCTCAGATTCATCTGTGTCGCTGGGTGTAATTGAAGTTCATTCAACATATGCATAATCTTTTGGCTTTTGCGCCTCTCTAGGTTTTGGCTTACACAAATGACACTGCTGTGAACATTCTGGCAATTTCTGTATATCAACTGTCAGATACTCAGAATTTTTTATTTTTTAAAGATTTTATTTACTTATTTGACAGAGATCACAAGTAGGCAGAGAGGCAGGCAGAGAGAGAATGAGGAGGAAGCAGGCTCCCCGCTAAGCAGAGACCCCGTGGGGTCAACGTGGGGCTCGATCCCAGGACCCTGGGATCATGACCCAAGCCAAAGGCAGAGGCTTTAACCCACTGAGCCACCCAGGTGCCCCAGATACTCAGACTTTTATATGTGCGTTCCACCCATGACATATCTTTCGGTGCATGTTTGTTTGCGTTCTACGGAATATATACTCAGGGCCTGGACAGGGGTCATCAGGAGTTCAGCTGTAGTAGTTGCTGCCTGTGGGTCCAGTACCTCTTTAAAAAATTGAATCTCCATATCATGAAGAGCAGTTGCTTTTTTGTTCATGGTTAAAATGTCAGTTTTACCATTGCAGTTTAAAATGTTTACACTAACTTCTCATCATTGATGAGCTCTCGGTCATCTTTCACTGGGTGACATGATTGCCAAAGAGCCCATAATTAGGAGCCAGAGTGTCAGCCCACCATTTTCTCATTCTCTCGCACTTCCCTTAATAGCCTCAGTCTTGGGTTTCTTGTTGAGGCTCTTTTGGGACAACATAGCCACTTTGTAAAGGTTGGTTTTAAAAAAGCCGATATGTAAGCAGCCACTCACTTCCTGTGAGATGTCCCATTACACTGGTGGAACTGGGGGTGGAATGGGACTCCCTGTCCCGGCTTCCCAGGGGGGATTCCCACTCTCCCTTCAGGGTGCGTCTCTTATGCCTGAGACCCACTGTCACAGAAGCTACATGAAGGCCTGGGGCATTTGTCATAGTAAATGTGCAGTTCTTAATTTTGAAGCTCAAAAACAAATATTAGTAATAGTTACATCATTTTCTTTCTGCCCCTCTACTGCCCTTGGGGATCTTGGCTTCAAGTGACATCAGTGGGCCACACATTGGAAGGGTGGGAGGAGATCACAACAGCAAGAATGATCCACTGGTATCCCTCTAGTGTCTTTGCTCTTCTCTTTCCAGACGTACCGTGAGCCCGTGTCAGACTACCAGGTCCTGCGGGAGAAGGCTGCATCCCAGAGACGAGATGTGGAGCGGGCACTCACCCGCTTTATGGCCAAGACAGGCGAGACTCAGAGTCTTTTCAAAGATGACGTCAGCACGTTTCCATGTGAGAGTCTGTCCCCTCTGGGGATCCTGTCTTGTCATTTGAAATAATCATTCCATCTTTCCTTTCTCTCAGCATGATAGGAAGAAAGGCAAGCTTTGTCTTTGTCTTTGCATGTTTTTGGCTCCTGTTCCCAGGTCTTAGGGGGACTGTAAAATGTTATGGCCCGTTTTGGGATCGGCTGTCTGAGGTTGAGTTCAAGCTGCCTCGAGGATGACTGACAGTAGGCCTCAGAGAGACTCACCCAGCGGAAGTGGCTGCTCTGGGAGTAGGAGGGACACGGAAGGCAGGCAGCGGGGCACTTATCAAATACCTCCCCACCCCCCTCCCACGTCCCCTACCCCTGTCTCTGCCCTTCACCATGTCCTTTCACAGGCTCCATGTCACTGAATTTCTCATCTGGGTGCTGACGTTACCTCATCACTGTGGGCCTCGGTTTTGCCAGAGGAGAATGAGACAAATGAGTTTGGGTGACTGATTCAGTCAGCAAGGCCCTATAGGAGGCTCACTGTGGGCCTGGCCCAGGAATGAGAGCCACTAACAGTTCACCAGTGTTTTCCCTTATGTTCTCTCACTGAATCCTCTCACAAACCTGTGAGTCAGGAACTGTTCCCACTACCATTAGAGGCTTTTAGAGAAAAGAGATGAAGTCATTTGCCCAAAGTCACACAGCTGGTAGATAGAATGCACACTAGCTCTTTCCAACCATGGGACCCTACATCGGAGGCACAGCAAAAGTCATCTCAGAGTGTCTCCTGCACATAATGTTCTGCCATCGAAGTACACATAGATGATGTCTTTCATTTAATTTTTTTTTTTAATTCATAATTTTTTCTTTTCATCAGTGCCTTTTGGAAGGACTGGAATGCTCACTTACTTGAAGTGCCCTCTAGCTCAGGGGATGGATGCATGCAGAGAGTTCTCGGGTCCAGTATTTAGACTGGAGTCCTTTAGCCTCTAGGGATCAATATCCTCACTCAAGAAACGAGGCTGAGAGAGCTTAACTGACCTTGGGTCTAGGATCATGAAGCTGACGCTTTGCTAGGATTCAGCCGCAGTTTTATCTGAGTTTAGTTATACGTGGTGAAGGTGGGCTCTGAGGTCATAGTGCCCGAATTGAGATGCCACACTGCCACTCTCTGTGTGCTTGAGGAGGCCACTCCATGACTCAGCGTCCTCATCTGTGAAATGGGGCAGGCAGTTGCACTGAATAGGGTGGGGGCCAGGATTAAAGATAGCACATGGGGTGTTGAGTGGCTCGTGGTGAGGGTTCAGAGCGCGTTAGCCATGACTGTTTGTTGCTGCCCATGGAACTCTCAGAAGGCCCTTGGCCCACGGCAGGGACACTGTGACTGGAATGGCCCCCCTCTTCCCATTCCCCAGTGATCGCTGCCAGGCCTTTCACCATCCCCTACCTGACGGCCCTTCTTCCATCGGAGCTGGAGATGCAGCAGATGGAGGAGACAGATTCCTCGGAGCAGGATGAGCAGACGGACACAGAGAACCTCCCTCTTCATATCAGCACGGTGGGTCCTCCCTCCTCTCTGCTTCATAATACCCCCAAAACACGCCCGTGCTGCCCACAGCCTGTCACCCTAAGTAGACACGACCCACCCCGGGTCTCTGTCTTTGTGGTAGGGACTTGCATGATGGGCTCGTGATGATCCAAGTGTGACATGAGCGCTTGCCTAAGAGACAAGTCCGTGTCGTGGGGATCACTCATTCATTCAGCAGATACTGAACAGGTATCGGCCAGAGCCAGGCACAGTTGCAGGTACTGAGGAATTTGTAGGAGACAAAATAGACAAAATTTCGTGCCCTCATGTAGCTAAGAAAAACGATAAATTAGGAGATAGGAAGTAGTATAGGCATGAAGGGGTATGTGGTACTGGGTAGGGGGACTGACAAGGTGACAACTGAAGGAAGACCTGAAGGGAACAAGGCTTGTACACAGTTGGGAGTAGAGCATTCCTTGCAGAGGGCACAGGAGATGCAAAGCCCTGAGGTGGGAGCTGTTGTGTTGAGGAACCTCAAGGCCATCAAGGAGGCATGAACAAGGGGGAGCTCCTGGGCAGTCGCATCTTAAAGACTGTATTAAACACTGGGCTTTTTCTCAGTAAGGTGGGAGCCATTGGGAATGCTGAGCAGGGGAGGTCAGGGCCTGATGGAGGTTTATTAACAAGGTCAGTCAGGTTGCTGTTGAGAGTGGACTGCAGAAAGTAAGGGTAGAAGCAGACAGTCTACTTACGAGGCTCAGCAGTAATCTGAGTGGGGTAGTAGAAGCGAAGACCATGAGACGTGGTCAGATAGAGTATTTGGTCAGATTCTAGACTATTTTCAGAGCAGAGCCAAACGATGGAGTGGGTATGAGTTCAGAGAGAGAGAGTGCCAAAGAGGAATGCAAGGCATTTCGCCTGAGCAACAGGAAAGATGGAGTTGCCTTCAGCCAAGATAGGGAAGCCCTGGGTGGGCCAGGTGGCTGGGAGGAGAGGCAGGTGTTCCAGTGAAACAGGATACCCTGAGATGCTTATTAGACACCTGGTGGTGATATCACATGGAGAGATGGATATAGGAGTTGGAGTTTGAGGAGCTGTTAGGGGTAGAGATGCAAATTTGTAGGTTGTGTTTAAAACTGTGAGACTGGGTGAGCTCCTTGGGAATGGGTAAGGATAAAAAGAACAGGAACTGGACTCCATAAGTACAGACTTGTGCTGCCCATTACAGTAGCCATGTGTGTCTATTTAAACTGAAATTAGGGGTGCCTGGTGGGCTCAGTAGGCGGAGTGTGTGACTCTTGATCTTGGGGTTGTAAGTTCGAGCCCCACATTGGGTGCAGAGATTATTTAAAAACAAAATCTTAAAAAAATCTAAAAAAAACCCCTGAAATTAATATAATTGAGATAAAACTAAAAATATGATTTCTTAGTCACACTGGCCGTTTTTCAGATAGCCACCTCTGGCTAGTGGCTACCATACCGGGCAGTGCAGATGCAAACACTGATGTTATTGCAGAAGGTTCCATTGGACAGAGCTTTTATGGACAATTTTTTCAAGGAACTTTGCTGTAAAGGGAAGGGGAAAAATGGAGTGGTGGCCAAAGGGGGAACATTAAGGGGTTAAGAGAACCGTTTTTATTTTTGTTTGTTTCTTTAAGATAAAAAGAACAGGATGTCAGTATGCTGTTGGGATGATCTGATAGAGAGGAAAAATGGATGCAGGAGAGAAAGAGACATTTTCGATTGATGTTCTTTGGTAGGTGAGAGGTAAGGGCTCTAGGGGCCAGGGCCTGGTGGAGGGGTTTGTCTTGTTAGGGGCATTTCACTCCCGGGGGAGGAGACCAAGTGTGCGAGCACAGAGACCAAAGCGGGTGAGTCACGCTTGTCAGGGCTCTTGGATGTTCTCATCTGGGTATCGAGGTATTGTACTCAGCATGTGCAAGGATAAGACCCCACTCGTGTTTCTGCATCTTTTTGAGAAAGTGCCAAGTACAGCTATGGAACTGCTAGAAGCTGAAATGCCTTTAAGGCTTGTGGGACCCTGTGGTCCACTTACCATATTGATCCATCCTTTAAGGCTGGCCCTGTCTTTGAAGCAAAGGATGCCTTGGTGGTTATCATTGGACCAAGCATTCTGCACATTCTCCGGGATTCCATGCGGCAGGTGGCAGCCAGCAGCCCCAGTATGCTGGTGGAACGCGGCCTGTGCTGTCTTCTGTTATTTGCCGGTGGGCCTCCTTGCTTGAACACACATCTCTTTAATGTTGGATTATTCCTTTCTGAATTAGGGCTGGAAGCCCATGGCTTTACCTAAAGCAGAGGACCTTGTTATTCTCCACCTCTGTTTTGGACTCAGTTCATTTGGTCTGCGATGTGGTGATATGGTCGTGGACTCAGATGAGTTTCACGTTATGAACAGGAGGCATCCTCCAAGCAGAACCACCATCCCTTTGTAAATACCAAGTAGCTAAAGGGTCCGCAGAGGTGTGACTGGACACCGCAGGTGGTGACAGAGGTCAGGTCATGGCCATGAGTGAGCCGAGGCTGCAGGAACACGGGAGCTGCTGTAGGACTCCAGGGTGCCGAGAGGCCAAGCCAGACGGCAGAGAGTAGGAAGAGCTGACCCTCAGAGTCACGCTGGCTTGGCCTCCAATCCAGATGGCGCTGCTTTCCAGATCACCTGACCTGGGTGGCATCCCCTAACATCTGAGTCTGTTTCCTCACAAGTACAAGCAGGATTAGGAAAACCTGTCTCAGCAGCGTACATTGGGTGCCTGGCTGATGGCTCCCGCCCCCAACCTCCCGCCATTTTAGGCTGTACCACCACCTGCTCGTCTAATAAAAATAAATAAATAAAGAGACCTCAAGAAAAGGATCCTAGCAACAACAGATACACAGTTGATTGGACTTACTCCTGTTATTCTGTTGAATGGCAAATACAATCCTATGTTTCAAAATTCACAATGTAGAAAGAAATGTATGGCCACCCTCCTTTACCCCATCCTTGTTCCCTGTCATCCGCTTCCCCGCCTACCAAGCAGCCAGTGTCCCCAGTCTTTTGTGTATCCTCCAGAGACACCGTTTCCTCCTTGTTTTAAACACAAATAGCAAGTCACAGTGTTCCCTTCCTTGTTCCCTTTCTTGGGGTATCTCGGTGATCATTCCATATGTGTATGTCGGGAGCCTCTTCAGCCCTCCTTAGCCTTCAATCGTGTTCTACTGTGTGGACGTAACCATGGGACCTGACCAGCTCCGTGTAGACGCTTGTGTTTTCTATCTGTGCTTTACAGACATTGTTAACATCGTTAAGTGAATTAAATAACTGGTATTTTAAATTATTCTTTGATCTACCAATGGCAGCACTTTTTTCAAGGACTGTTGCTAGGTGGTTACTTTGTTTAATCCGGTTCCGGTTTCTCCATGTACTTGAATATAAAAGGACTATTCATTTTAACTTATGTGTAAGAGAATTTTTTTCCCTTGTATATTTGAACTAGCTGCCTTCTATGATAATACCCATATCTACACTTGGTGCTCCTTTATCAACAATGTACCATTCATTCACTCAACAAGTATTTATTTAGTACCTATATGTGCCAGATACCGTTCTGGGTGATTGGGATGCCTCAGTGAAAATAACTAATGAAACATCTGTCTTTTGGAAGCCTGTGTGTTGGCCAGGGTGGGGGAGGGGAGAAACAATGAGTGTAATATATAAATGAATCATCTACAGTGTATTAAAGATGCAGATGCTATTGTTGGGGCAAGGGGACCAAGGAAGGGGAAGATCCAGGGTGAAAGATGGAAGTTTCAGTTTTAAATAAGGTAATCAGGGTAGACATCACTGAGGAGACATTTGACAAGAGATTTGCAGGAAGTGAGCAAGTGAGCCATGTGGATATCTGGGGAAGAGCATTCTGGAAAGGGAGCAACCAGTTCAGAGGCCCTGAGGAACAACACAGAGGTGAGTAGGACTGTGGCTGAGGGAGGCTGTGGGAGGGAGGCTGAGGTCAAGTCAGTTAAGATCCTGCAGTCAGCTCTCAGAACTGGCTTTTAATTGGGTGTGTGGGAGTTGTGGGAGGGTGTGAAATGGAGGAGGGACATACCAGAACTTCCTCAAAGATCTCGGGCTGTGGGGGAGGTCAGTTAGGAAGCTGTTGCGCTAGTCTTGATGAGAGCTCCTGAGGGTCCAACAGGGCAGCTGCAGTAGAGAGAGCGGAAGTGGTCAGATTCTACCCGTATTTTGAAGGTAAGGCCAGGGAGTTATCCTAACAGATTTGGTTGTGGGAGTCTGAGAGAGAAGAGCAAGCGTGACGGTGGAGTTGTGGCTGGAACGACTGGAAGGACGGAGTCGCCTCAGGGGAAGGGCTGGAGTTTCGTTTCTGGCACGGAAGTCTGAGATGCCTCTCGAGGCCCGGTGGAGATGTTGAGTGAGCAGGTGGCTATGCAAGCCTGGGAGTCAGAAGAGAGGTGAGGGCAGAGAGGTGCCCACAGCAGTGGTCAGGAAAGAAAGATGGCATTGGAAACTGAGGCACTGCAGTCACCCGGGGCGTGGGGGGGCTCACCAGAGCGCACACACTCTGGCCTTCACAGGCTTGGGGAGCTTCTGACAGACTCTTCTGCTCCCACCTTTTTCAAGCAAATCTCCATGAGTTTGGTACTTTACTTTTATCTACTCCTGTCCCTCCCTATCTCAAGGCTCCCTGTCCCTGAAGGAGGCAAGAAAGTGGCCATTCCAGCTCTACTTGGGAGAAGAGAAGCTGTTGTCCCATGACTCAGGACCCACATCCTGGCCTTGTGAGACAAGTGAGCCGAACAAAGGAAGCCTAGTGCCCTCTGGCAGAGCTCCCAGAGCTGGCTTTTTTGTGCCCCTCACTGTCCCTCCCATCCTTATTATCTCAGGAAACACTTAAGTTGTGGTTGAAGGAACTTGCCGCTACTTTAAGATAGGGCATTTCCGGTAGAGAAAGGACAGCAGGGAAGTAGGGGTGAGTTACTAAACCAAGCCATTAACAACTTCAGAAAGATTGGGAGCCAAATATCCCAGGCAGGTCTGGTCATCTGGCATGAGCTAGGTTAGCCTGGGGGCATTCCCTTTTAAGAGAGCCTCCAGAAGGTCCACAGTGGTTCTAGGTCACTTTGTGGGAGAGGGAAAGCACAGGGACCCTGGATGGAACTGGGTTTGATGGGAGAACAGAATTGGCGGGAGGGGGGGGGGTTGGGAAGCGGAACCTAGAAGGGAGCCAGTTTCTTCAGGCTCGCTAAGCCTGAGACAGGAGTCCCTGCACTGCTTGCTGTCCCTTGTGAGGGAGCCTGCTGTTCCTGTCATCCAGTCACAGTGTCCTCTTCTGCCCTACTGTCTGGACAACAGAATCTCCTGGTTGAGGTCAGGTACCCTTTTGCCTCAATTACTAAACAGGAATCTCAGTGACAGGAGCGGTGGCCTGTCACCAGGGGGCGCAGCCCAATCAGCTGCTGCTGGTCACTTCTAGCCCCTCAGGCCTGAGCTTCTAGGTCAAGGCCTTGGTGTGATTTTTCTCCCCCTTCCCCAGCAGCTTCTGCTCATTTTAAAAAACTTGGAAAATAGAGGAGAGTATAAATAAGGGAGAATCAATCACTGATATTCCCAGAACCAGTTTTTAACGTTTCAACCTACTTTTAATATGTCTACACACTATGATTTAAAAATGTTTTAATTTGAGGGATGCCTGGGTAGCTCAGTTGGTTAAGCAGCTGCCTTCAGCTCAGGTCATGATCCCAATGTCCTGGGATAGAGTCCCACATCGGGCTCCTTGCTTGGCAGGGAGCCTGCTTCTCCCTCTGCCTCTGCCTGCCATTCTGTCTGCCTGTGCTCGCTCGCTCTCCCTCTCTCTCTGACAAATAAATAAAATCTTTAAAAAAAATGTTTTAATTTGAGATCATGTGGAATATATGTAAACCTATAAACTTTTCTCCCAAATCACCTTCCTCAAAAAGCAAACAGTGAAAGAGCTGAGCCATGGGTCACAGATGGGGAGTATCGTTGACGTTCCCGTGTTGGCACCTGTGTGCTCTCTTTGCCTTGGCGGGAACCCTCAGGGCTCAAAGAATGTTAGGCCTCTGCTGCAATATGACCGTTGGTACCTGTTGCAGGTAGCAGATATTTGAGAATCTGAGGGAAATTGGTTATGCCTGGCATTCAGTTTGGCCCAGGAGAGGCCCTGTGCACAAGATCTGTTCTGGCCCTGTGTCCTGCAAAGCATCACGGGTCATTTCTCTATTTCTTTATCTCCACACAAGCCGGGTTTCCTCCTTGAGTGTCTAATTGTTTGCCTCTGACTCCTCGCTCCTGCCAGGGGGCTCTGTTCTAACTCATGTCCTTGCCTTCTCAAGAGACTCAGAGTTTTGTTTTCCGTGCTGCCCTGTGTCCAAGCTGTGTTCTCATCTTCCTCTGCTAGCTGGTCCGTGCCTGGGCCTTACTTCTCCAGGACAGAGATAGGTACATTAGAAAGAAAATGGTCCCTGGGCTTCTTATTTCTTGACGAAAGGGATGCTAATAGTAGTTCTTATTATGGACATGATCTCTTTCCTTATGCCGTTGGTGTTTTGCTTTATTTCGGCTTTTACTCAAAGGATGATTCTGGAGCCGAGAAGGAGAACACCTCTGTCCTGCAGCAGAACCCCTCCTTATCGGGCAGCCGGAATGGGGAGGAGAACGTCATCGATAACCCCTATCTGCGGCCTGTGAAGAAACCCAAGATTCGCAGGAAGAAGTGAGTTGGAGGCCGGGGAGCCGAGAGGCTTCTCTGGCCAACCGAGGTGGTCTTCTCTGCTCCCTGGCAGAAAGGAGAGGCTCCCCAGTGGGTCTGAATCTAGGGAAAGGAAATCTTCTCCCTTTTCCTCTCCTCACTCATCCCCCATGTGTACCTCTTGTTGCAAAGAGGTTGAGCGCCCTGCGGCCCAGGGGCCAGCCCTCACAGCCCTAGAGCTGTCCCCCTTAGAAGGAGAGCAGGTGGGGCCTCCCCTACCAGCAGGCTCCATGGATTCCTCTTCTTTCTAGGTCCCTCTCATGAGCCGAGAAGGAAGCCTGCCTTGTACAGAGACGTGGACACCACTCTCCTGGGGCAGTTAAAGCCACTGGAGGGAAGAAGAGAGGGTGGCCTCCTCGCGGTCAAGCCCTGGTGGCTGGCATGACCTGGCATGATTTTAATAGCCAGCTCAATATTAAGACTACCTAATTTCACTGGATCTTTGGGTGGAGGAAGACGTGATGGTGATGATCAGACTTTCTTAATCCCCCTGGCCGTACTGTGGGGCGCTGGAGCAGACAGTGACTTCAGTTATCGTCACAGGATTTGATTCCTTTGAACCCTGGAAGACCAAGCACACACAGATCTGTTAAACACACAGGAGTTAGAGTGACGCGTGCGCACAGCACCGACTCTCCCTCTGTGGGATGTGTGCTTGGGGACTTCCAACTAAGTCCCGCTCCATCCTGGGAAAGAGCTTTTCTCTGACAAGAGCGCTAATCAGTGAATATATTATGGTGTGACTTGTAGAGGAATCACGGATTGTAAACAACAGGAAAAGGATTTGATGGGGAGAGTGGGGGAGGGAGAGATTTTGAGGGATGGGCCTGGCTAGGCTGCTGGAAGCTGGCAGGGACAGAAGGCCATGGTCCCCCGATTGGTGGAGCCTGCAGACCAAGCTAGGGTCTTCTTCCAGAAGCACGTCTGAATCTGATCAACCTCTTTTCCTCCTGGGGAGAGAAGACTTCATCCTTGATGTACCCTACAAACAAAAACCAAAAATCCCAAGTGTTGAGGAAGATTCTGGGCAAGCTGATACCTTTGGCTGGTCTCCAAAGGAAGAGATTTAAAAACCAAAGTCCAAAGAAGAAAAATGCCAGTGACACCTGGAAGTTAACACAGGATAAACAAGTTGTTCCCTGGGTTAGCATCCTGAGGTCCGTATCAAACTTCCTGATGCTCCGCTTCCAGAGTCCTCTCCTGATCTTCCATGCTCTGGGTGAATTTGAAAACTTAAAAAACTTGACGGCAGGTTCCATATTCCTCTGGCCTCACTGTTGCTTTAGGGCCCTCCATCCCATTGCCCGGAGGCAAAGAGCTGCTTGTCAGTCCCCAAGGATGGCATGCCAGGGAGATATTTGGATTCCCCCACTCCGGACCAAATAAGCATTCAGGTTTGTAGTGGCCTGAAACTCTGGATGATAGTCGACTGGACGGCAGTCAGAGTGGGCCCTTGCCGAGTTTGTGATTCGGCTTGTGGCAATTCTTCGCGGGTTGAGTGTACAGGCCTGGGTTTGCGTCTTGGCAGGTGCAGGGCTGAGACCTTGCCAGCTTGCTGTTCTCTGCCCTCGGGGCAGCCACCCTCGTCAGCATTTCTGCATTTCTTCCTCTTTCGCCATTACTGTCCAAAACCAGCACCTGCTCCATGCCATGTTGCCAAGGGAAGAGCCAGGTTTGGGAAAATGTTGCCCCTTCTGCTTTTGAGATCAGAGACCCGAATTCTGTTCTGGGTGAGAGGCCCTGGGAGGTGATAAGACAGCTTGAAACATTGACCCGACCATCGTTGTGTAAAAACTGTGCATAATTCTCAGTGTATATTTATAAATGTCTATTTTTTTATAACTTTGGGAGACTTCTTGGAGGGAAAAAGTAGTAAACAGAGCCAGATTAAGGATGTGATTTATGAGCTTTTAATCAAAGGTCATAATAAAAACCGCAAATGGAACAGAATGATATATTTTGAATTTAATTTGTATTCAAAAGTCACAGCAAGGATTAAGACTGTAGGCAGATAAGGTTTAGTCCTTCTGTTGGACTGAGTACCCCTGGGAGCTATCTAAAACTTTCTACTTTGGAAATTTTCAAACACAGAATGAGGAACATATATGCTTTCCCTCTATGTCCTTCGCCCAGCTTCAACACTAAGCAACATCTTTTCAATTCTGTTTTGTTAATGTCTCCCACCTTTTTTTCCTTTATTTTTCCTTCCTGGAGGGTTGGTTTTTTTGTTTGTTTGTGTGTTTTTTTTTTTTTTTAAGATTTTGTTTATTTATTCGAAAGAGAGCAAAAGCAGAGGGGAGGGGCAGAGGGGAAGACCGGGGACCAGCAAACTCCCCGCTGAGTGAGGAGCCGATGCAGGGGCTCAGTCTCACTGAGATCATTACCCTGAGATTGCAACCTGATCTGAAACAGGGAGTCAGAGGACACTTAACCAACTGAGCCACCCATGTTCCCCTCTTCCTGGGCTTTTAAAGTAAACGCAAGACCTGTGTCATTTAATCTGTAAATAGGTCACCATACATCTCTCTCTGATAAACCTTTTTTCTTTCTTTCTCATTTTGAAATTATAGATTCATAGGATGTTGGAAAGAAAAAATATGTACCATGTACCCTTGGCCCAATTTGCCCCAGTGGTAGCATCTTGTGTAACAGGTGCAGTATCAGACCCAGGAGACTGGCCCCAGTACAACCCATAGTGCCTACTCGGTTTTCACTTTGACCTCCGTGTGAGTGGTTCTGAGCAGTTTGGTTACATGTGGATTCATGTAACAACCACCATGATCAAGATCAAAATACAGAACGTTTCCATCACCACCAGCTCCCCTGTGCAGTCTCTCTATAACCGCATCCACCCCTCCCCGTCCCTAACCCCTGGCAGCCACTCTTCTGTTCTCCATCTTTATGATTGTATTTAAAGGTTGTTGGGGCGCCTGGGTGGCTCAGTGGGTTAAGGGTCTGCCTTCAGCTCAGGTCATGATCCCAGGGTCCTGGGATCAAGCCCCGCATGCATCGGGCTCTCTGCTCAGCAGGGAGCGTGCTTCCTCCTCTCTCTCTCTCTGCCTGTCTCTCTGCCTATTTGTGATCTCTGTCTGTCAAATAAATAAATAAAATCTTAAAAAAAAAAAATCTTTAAAAATAGACATGGTGGCACCTGGCTGGCTCAGTCGGTAGAGCATGCATCTCTTGATTAAGGGTTTGTGACTTCCAGCCCCATGTTAGGCATAGAATTTACTTTAAAAAAATTGTTAATATAAATGGAATCATAAAGTTATAACCTTTCAAGGTTGGCTTTTTTCACTCGGCATGAGGAAGCGCCCTCCAGGTTGTGTGTATCGGTAGTTCCTTTGTTGTTTTTTCTTTTTTGCTGAGTCCTGCTTCACGGTACAGCTGCACCACAGTGCGTGTGACCATTCGCACTTTGAGGAACACCGAGGCTGTTTCCGGTTTCGGCCTAGTATGAATAAAGTGGCTATGTACATTTGTGGAAAGGGTCTATGTAAACATAAGTTTCACTTCTCTGTAATTAATATCCAAGAATGCGATTGCTGGGTCCTGTGGTAACCGCTCATTGAATGTTAAAAGGAACTGAAACTCTCCCAGAGTAGCTGTACCATTCTGCATTCCTGTTAGCAGTGTATGAGGGATCCGGTTTCTCCGCATCCTCGCCAATATTTGGTGTTATTATTTTATATTGCTTTAGCCATTCTGACAGTTGTGTAATAATAACTTGTTCTAACCTTAGTTTGTATTTTCCTTATGGCTAGAGGGGTTTATTTGCTCTCTGGTGGAATCTAGTTTAGTCTTTTGCCCATTTTCTCATTGGGTTGTTTGTTTGTAAATTTCTTTATTCTAGATAAAAGAACTTGTCAGGTGTGCAGTTTGAAGACGTTTTCC